GACTTGGGTTGTAAACGTTTGTGCCTTTTAAAATATAGGTCCCCAGAAAAAAAAAAAAAAATTTCTGATCTAAGTAGATTAGACCTCAGTATCCTGAACTTTGGTACACAAATTTGATCCCAAGCCGTAGTTTGGATACCTCCGTAACGCGTGGTAAATGTTTTCCGAACCTCTCTTCTGTCTACATTCTAGCTGAAATGGAGAGTAATAAAAAAAAATTAAAAAAAAAAGAGTATTGAACACATTCTCTCCAACACTGGAGCTGCTTTTTCTCACAGAAAAATCCTTGGGCTCTGGACAGGAGAACAAAACCAAAGAGAACAATTGATTGAAATACAGTAGAAAAGCCGCAGTTAACATGGCAACAAAAGACCTATTATTTCTGACAACAATATCCCACATGTATTAAACTGCAAAACGTGGCAGCAGTGGGTCCAACATGAACAGTGGATTTTTTTTGTTGTTGTAAATGTTCTTCTGTCCGTCTGCTATAAAAACCATTCCCATCAACACAGATCTCTTCAGTCGGACGGCTAACCACAACCTGTCACTCACCGTGGAACCCACTCCTTGCATCCTCTGTCTGTTCATTATAAATGACAGAATAAAAAGGGACCTGAGCTTCAGGACTTTCACGTCTCTGTTTTCTCGACAAGTGCCCCTGGAGGCACCGAGGGCGGTTTTTTTGAGTCTAATTTCAAGGGCGAAGACCGAACTGGAGGTGAGTAAATAAAGCTGTCTCCTCGTCTCCCCCTCCACCTGCATCTCTATTCTGAGTCCACTGCGTCTATTTTGAGCCTTCTTCTCTGACAGCGCTGAGTGATGGCGCGCTGAATAGTGGTGCAAACAGCGATTCAATGTCCTGGTAATATGCCATTAGTTGTGATGAGAGTGGAAAGAAAATGAGCCGCAGCGCAGAGAGCTGTGGTTTATTTTCTCTGATGAGGCTGGCGTGGCAAATAAAAATCACACCGAACCACTCCGACGAAGTGTTTCAGCGCAGAATGGTTTTTGGTTTTTTTTAACAATAGTGTGAGGTGTGCAGACATGCTTTAAATGAGTTAGGAACAAGAACAAGGGGCAGGGGGTAGAAACGGCTTTAAATGAGTTAGGAACAAGAACAAGAACCGTAGGAACGGTAAAAAAAAATTTAATTTTCTTTATTACACAATTTTTGACCCAGTCTTCTCAGCCAACTAACATTTACCTGGAAGTAGGTCATTCACTTTCCAAAACGCCACTGGTCTCTTTAACGCACTGGTTCTCAATTATTGTCTGTCATGCTCCCCCTTGAGGTCAGAAATGTTTTTTTACGCCCTCCCTCCGACCCACACCCCCGCAAATTGAAATACTATCGAGAACCTGATAACATGTATATTTTTTTATCTGTACAAACCACTGTATGCGTTGCTGCCACCTAGTGACTGGAGGCTTGTTATCATTCAAGCATTACAGCAGTGGTACATTTATGTCTATGGGCAACCAATCAAAACGCTTCATCCAGTGTGGGAGTTTGTCATGCAGATGTGTCACCATAAAAATGTTACAAAGATAATGACTGCCCCCTACTGGGCATATACAAGGGATCCTCGGTTTACGACGTCCTGGAACTGTGGCATTTCCTGGACAAAAGTAGTTGACTTCGACTTCGTGAAATAAATCGTAAGTCGTCAATGCCCTGATGTTTACTAATGGAGAGTGAAATGTACTTCTACGTGCAGCCGACAGGGTGAACGGCTTCTTACCGCACTCTTTTTTGGGTTCGTCCGACCGGTCCTTGCAGTCCTTGACAGAGTCGCACACTTTAGAGCTGTCGATACACTCTCCGTTCTTGCACAGAAACTTCAGAGGGCCCTCACACTTGGTGGCTGTTTTTTTAAAAAAAAGCAACAGATAAATGAATGAATGAAGCACCTCCTTAAAAACACAACACAAATATCACCAGTTGTGTTTACTCAGTCCAAATCTTTTCTCCTGATTTTTTTTTTTTTCATATTATTGATGTCAATAAACAAGGATCTTTCATTTCATCCAGCGTTGCAGCGCAGCGGCCCTGTTTGCTGCAAAATGTTATAATACTGATAAATTATGCATCGCTGCGAATGAATCAAACCGGCGAAGAAAAGCCACGGGCTGATTCCACAGCATCAGAAATCAAACGTGAACGTTCTGAAGAAAGAGAGAGTGAGTCATTAAGTACGAAAAATCGGAATATTATAGAACTTCGTTAATCGCGAATGATGAATAAATAACAGGTCGTAATGGATGAAGGAATTTTTTGACTAGTCAGCTTAGAGCAGGCATGGGCAAACTATGGCTCGGGGGCCGGATGTGGCCCGTTGAACTTGTTCAAATTATTATTGCCTGCAACTAAAAGAAATTCACGTAACATTTTTTTGTAAATAACAAGAACAAAGTTAACTCGGTTGAGGCGTGTTATACTGTGTTCTTAATCTATCTAACGGCACAGAAGTATAGTAAAAAAGAAAGGAAAAAAAAATTGTCCTCTTGCACCCACCGTTCACGCAGCCTGATTCATCACTGTGGTCTGGACAGTCATGGACCTTGTTACACTGTTTGGTTCCATGGATGCAGGAACCGTCACCGCATTGGAACTCGTCAGGGCGGCACGTCAGAAGGGCTGCGAGAGACACACGAACGTTATTGCATCAATTGAGGAGCGACAAGCACAACAGGTTTATGCAACTCCATTCCAGGTACAGTTTGCCCCCGAGGAGGTGCAATTTAGTGGTATCAGAAGATGTGCAGATCACAGGGAAGGTGACAGGGGAAAAGAAAAAAAAACCTCCTGGACAAATGTATGCCGTCAAAGAATGCACATTAGCATTACATTACGCATATAGTGTTTATCTAGTCGTTCACTCTAGAGAACGAGCTCCGCAGCAGATAACGTATGCAGGTAACGTAGAAGAATGAAATAGCAGCAAATTAGAGGATGTATTAAAGGCAGAGTACGCAGAACACACATTTATTGCTATTTATTTGAAATACTGTCAAATAAAACCTTTAAGGTATGTCACCAAGAGTTCTATAACGTATGACTAATGCACATGTACTAATGCACACTGCGACTTACTGTTCTTACAACAGGCCACCAGGACTTAGAATGTAGAATCATCACTGGTTTAGCTCGGTCCAATACTCAGCATCAGTATCGATCTGGTTATTGGTCAAAATTTCAGGATCGAATATCGAAAAAAAAACAAGTATATTTATTTACTTTTTGCATTTAAAGATAAACATGCAATGTCATTCCTATTCCTCCGGTAGGTCTAAAAGGTTTTTTTTTTTTTTTTTTTTTTGCTTCACACTCCCTAACATTCCCAGAGAAACCATCGTCTTTAGATAAAAATAACTCGCATTTCAGCTCATTAATTCTCTTCTGACCAACAGGTGTCTGTTCACACTGAGCTCATTATTTCCTGCAGTCCTTATCTGGTCAAACACTGACGCTGTGTACTCTCTCTGGCACAAACTCTCAAAAGTATAAAAAAAAAAAAAAAAAACTCTTTTTTTTATGTGCTTTCCCCC